ATAACTTTTGTAGAATGTGGTGGGACTTTATAACAAAAATGGTAATTTTTGGGACTGTATGACTTGATATTATTCTCTTAGTTCAAATATGGGTTGAGAAGAAATGGGAATCAACATAGGCAAAAACCACTTAAAGATAGATATGAATGTTATTTTAAGGAAGCTGTTAAAGAGAAAACTCAATGAAGAGCCACAGGTGGACAACTGGTTGGTATTGCTAAGAAACTGTCTTCATTAATCGCCTCCAAGTCATGGAAGTTAGGACTTACAATAAGAAATTCCCACAAATGCAACAAGTTGAAAACAATTAATCATGTGACTATCGAGTACTAAATTTTTATTAGGTAATGTTACTCTCATCATATTTCATTCCAAAAATAAAACCAGTGGATGAAATTGTGTACGATTTGACAAGAATGTTCCTAAAAGTATGTACTTTCAGAAAAATAATACATTTCTACTTATTTAATAAAAATTCATTATCTATTGTAATTATTTGCACATGGACTCTGAATAGTTCTCCTACAAAGTGATTTTCATGTTGAGTATAAAAATACTAATTTTTACCTAAATGAATATCAAAGTTTTTTAGGGTAAATGTATTTTATTTGCCATTTTCTTTACAACATTACTAACTCTAATTATTATCATTAACGTACAGTGCAGTGAAATGTTTAAAATTAAGAAAGAGAAATGTGTACATACCTTTTAAATCTTTGTTGATTATTTTAATGACATTTTCAACAATTGACATGTGTAATTTCACTCTTTATGTTTTCACATATAAATAATTTTTAATGTTTTGTCTTCCTCTCCTGTTCTCTATGTTTGATTATTTATGTCGACACACATCAACAAGTGCCTGTAGGCAATGTTAATTTAAACTGTTAGGTTTAGCCCCTCTGACATAATATTTTTTGCTCTCATAAATGTCTCAAAGCTGTTTTAGTTATTCAAAGTATAGAATAATTTAAAAAATAATTAAAACTTACAAATAGTACATAATTAACTAAAATATAAAAGTAAAACCTAAATGCAATCTGTCTATCAAACTAATACATATAAGGTGAGAAAAAATTGCCAAATTCTACATAACCTACTCTCAACCATGTCATTATAATGACACTGAAAATAAATCTATACCATATGTGTTGTGTAAGGATAAACGACCTTTAAAGGGTGAAACTACTCATTCTATTGGTTTTAAGTATGCCATTCAACTTAAAACAGTTGCTAAGCAACCTAGCTTCTACTTTGCAAGTGGGCAAACCAGTTCTATGAATTTGTATCAAGTTACTAGTAAACAAACTGTATGTACATGTAGTTTATTGCCAACAAGAAAGACGTTTTGACTATAGTCATTTCTTGTATAACTTGCACTTCAAGTGAGAGCAAATGTGAAATTTTTAATTATTCTTTTAGCAGTTTCTTTTGAAATAAAGGAATAAAAACTTAAATAATATAAGATTTTGAATCAAAACATAGTTGATAATGCTAATTTCATTAAAATATGTTGATAGTAAAGTGGTTGAATGAAATTTTAAAGATAACTCTAACATTTTGTGGCATGTGCAGAAAGGGATTTTAAATGGTACCAAGGGTTATAGGATTAATGTGTATAAAAATCTTGGGATTGAAGAAACTTCAGACAAACTTTCTAAGGACTTGGACAACAATTGTATGGATGATGAACATTCTAATTTAAATCGAGACTTCAATGCAAGAACTAGTAATGAACATCAAATTAATTTGGAGATCGAAGAATTAGAAGAGGAATGGACCCAAACTAGAAATTCTGAAGATGAAATCTCCTATACTGAGGGGGAAAACTAATGCATTGCTACAACAATTAAGGATGTGTAAATTTATGTGGACTAGTCAAAGGTGACTAAGAAGGGAAGCCCACCTATGTTGGATATGGAAGAGACTCGGTCATTGACTACGTCATTGTGAAGAATGACACACAAAATGATATTATGAGAATGTATATTGTTGAAAAAATCTAATCTGACCATCTACCAATTGAAGGGATGTTGAAAGATGAAATGGGACATGAGAAAGAAGAGATCCTTATGACTCAGTGGCACTATAAGTGGAACCCAACTAAAATACAATAATTTGTAGCTAACCTGGAATGTGATTGGTGGAAAATGAAAGATGAGAAAGACAAAGAAAGGAGAATCCTGGTCCTCAATTAAATTTTTAAGAAGAGCACCAAGGAAATTAGACTAAAAGGAAGCATTACAAGGATAGCAAATATCATCAGAGGAAGAAACTGGAGAGAAGATTACTGAGACAATTTAGGAGGACAAGAAAAGAAGTTGATAGGACCCACTATATTATGGCAAGAAGTAACCTCATGAAGAGACATTGAGAAATGCAAAATCGGAAGTAAGAAAAGATTTGGAAGAAAATCAAGAAGAGCAAGAACATTATTCTCTTCTGGCAATATGTTAATAAGTTCAGATAGCAACCTTCTTAAGAAGCAAGAGGTTGAAATAACTACACACCAATGAAGAAAATACTTTGTGCAATTATTAGCAGGAGAAGAGACAAGTATCAATAACTGGTGGTGAGAATTCCAACATGAAGTGTTACCATTTGAAAATAACAAACTGGATGCTGAATTCAAACAAGAAGAATTGACAAAGTCAATTAAGAAACTGAAGAATGGCAAGTTGCTGGGTGAGAACATGGAAATCAATGAATTCTATAAGGCACTTATGTGAGAAATGAGAGAGGGTCTTTTGCAACTACTCAATGAAACCTGGAAGAGTGGGTCCTGCCCTGAAAGTTGGAAGGATTGATTAATCTGCCCGATCTACAAGACTGACGAGAAAGGCAACCAAAAAAATTATAGAGGATTGACATTACTTAACACTGAACAAGATTTTGGCCAACAAATGGTGACCACATGGCTTGTGGACTGGGTTGAAAAAGAAAGGCTAATTAAGGAAAACCAAGCAGAATTCAGGAAAAATTTAGATATGAGACAACATTTTTGTGTTGAATACATTAATCCAAAATAAGTTATAATGAATGGGAGGAAGGTTGTACAGATGGTTTATTGACTTTAGAACAGCTTTTGATAAGATTAATAGGAAGAAGTTGTGTGAAAAGATCTGGAAAATGGGGATTAGAGGAAGAATGTACAGGATGATCAAAAGTATTTATAATGAAACAAGGAACATCATCACTTCACCAAGAGGATGATCGGATATGTTTTGGACTTCAAAAGGAGTGAGACAAGGATGCCTGTTAAGCCCAGTGTTATTTAGTATTTTTATCAATGATTGGGAAGATGAACGAATCACAAGGAATGTTGGAGAAACTGTTATTGGAAATAAAAAAAATAACATCTTAAATACACGGATGACATTGTTGCGCTACCTGACCATATAAACAACATGAGAGAGGTGGCTAAAGCATGTGAAAAAAAATTATCTGAGTATTAAACTGGAAAAATCAAAGATGATGGTATTTCATAAAGAAGATAAGTGGACATACAAGGGTCAGTCTATTGAGGTAGTCGACAAGTACAAATACTTGGAGGCTTGGTTTTGTACAAAAAATTTTAACATGGAACATGTTAAGCAGCAAAGTGGAAAGGCTTAAAGGATCATGAAAATTGAGTATTATAAGAAATATTAAATACTTAATTACTGATCATCAACATGACAAAAAAACAGGTAACAACTTTTGAGTGTAAAAGCATTATAAGCTTTTGAAAAAACACATTGAAATGATTAATATGTTTACATTTTAGAGTATATATAGGCTGGAAAAAACTGGAGAATCGATTGCTGAGAACTCAATCAAACAAATTAAAGCTTACTGTACTAGATAATGTTTAAGTGGTACCTGATGTCAGCCAGACGTTTTTATCCTTTTTTTCAGTACTTCCTATCTAGCTAGAGCTAGTTGTAATTAAGCACGTGTTTTTTTGTGAAAATAGATTAAATAGATTGCTGAGAACTCAATCAAACAAATTAAAGCTTACTGTACTAGATAATGTTTAAGTGGTACCTGATGTCAGCCAGACGTTTTTATCCTTTTTCAGTACTTCCTATCTAGCTAGAGCTAGTTGGAATTAAGCAAGTGTTCTTTTTGTGTAAATAGATTAGATAGATTGCTGAGAACTCAATCAAACAAATTAAAGCTTACTGTACTAGACATGTTTTAGTGGTACCTGATGTCAGCTAGACGTTTTTATCCTTTTTCAGTACTTCCTATCTAGCTAAAGCTAGTTGTAATTAAGCAGGTGTTCTTTTTGTGTAAATAGATTAACAAATTAGATGTGTTACTTATTGTTAGACTGTTATTCAATAGCATACATAGCATATCATGGACCCATAACAGAAAGCTCTATAAGTATGACAGAAGTTGATCCTACAGAAAGCTCTGTAAATATTGACAAAACCTAGAAAGCACATTATGTTTTGGCAGAATTAATCATATCAGAGGTACAACAAGTCTGGAGAGTACTTTATCACAAAGAAAGTATAGTAATTATTCATAAATATTGTTTTTGTAGAATATACAGTAACTGTTTACAGAACCTGATCTTAAGGAAAAAACAATATTTATTGATTATTTCTTTCTTAGAGAGAACAGTAAATATTGATGAACAATCTTTATAGAAATCACCACAATTATTTTTAGAATTTGTTGCTTTACAAAGCAAGGTAAAATTGTTGGTAGAATGTGGCTTGAAAAAAGTACAGTGATTATTAACAGAACTTTGTCCTATAAAAAGAACAGTAGGTTGTTTACAGTATCTGATCTTATCAAAAGTACAGTAAGTTTTTACTGAACATATTTTATAGAAATAAAACAATATTTAACAGAGTTTATTCATAGAGAAAATGTATAATTATTGGTTTAATAGAAACTAAAGTAACTGTTGATAAAACCTTTTTATCAGAATTTGATTTATGTAAAGCACATTATAGTTTAGAAAAACACCCTTGGTTACAAAGTTCCAATACTTTCTTTTGCAGGATCTTCATCCCGAGTTGTGGGAACACAGAGTGGACTTTTACAGTTTGATGGATCAGGCTCTAGTCATGGACTGTTGTCATTGGTTTATCAGTGGAGCTGCCACACTGATGACAGACAGCCATGTTTTAATCATAAGGATATGTCTAACAGCAGCCTGCTTATTCCAAGAAATATACAAAACCAACCAATGCTTGAAATAGATTCTCAACTTTTGAAGTCAGGAGAGAAACTAAATATCGGCCTTCAAGTGTTTACTGCCTCCAATAATTCACAGAGGAGTGAAGTTTCTACAGTTGCAGTCTCTGCAGTTGATGGAAATATCCCTCAGGTGAAAGTTGATGGAAATATCTTCTAACTGATACTTTGTAAATGAATAATTGAAGATTTATGACATGCAGTCACCACACATAATCTACTTTTATTTTCTTTCATTGAATAGATAAAAAGAAAGAAGCTCTTAAGTCACCTTAAAATAAGCTTCATTCAATAACACAGAATATAATGTTTAGAAGTTGGGTTCATCTACAGTTAATTTTACAATCTAATCATTTTATACATGTTAAATATAGGTTATAGATGCCGTGTCATAATTATACTATTGTATAAAGAGTTCAGGTATTTTCAATTGATGGAAAAACTCATTTTCATTTTAAAATGTTAGTGTTTAATATGCATTGTCAACAGGTAGTAAATCTAGTTTTGAACTATATGTGATTTACTAAATCATTTTGAGGGTGAATGAATAAAGTAGCCTTTATTATTGTTGAAAACAAAGTTGAAGATTTGATTGCAGTTAGAGATATAATTGAAGAAGACATAAGAAAAAATATGAAATTTTCATTCACAATTGTAGATTGTTGGTTTTTTTGCCTTTAGTATATGAATATATTTATATGTATGGTATATTACCTGTGAAGGAAATATAAAATTATTTTTTACTTGTACAATCAATCAATACAGACAGAAAGTGTTTTTGTCACATTGTTGTAGTAAAATAAAGAATATTTTCTAGAACTAACTCTTAAAAATTAACGTTTGTGTACACTCATTATTGTGTAGGTAGTCATTCATTCAGTAACCGTCCATGGAAGACCTGTGTTGTCAACCTTTAGTCGTTTCAATGTTCATGCTGGAGTTGCTGTGAAAGTAGAAGCCACAGTCACTTCATACAAGATACCTATATACAATGTTTCTTGGAATGTTATAGGTAGATGCCCACATTGTCTTTGATAGTCATTAATCTTCTAGATAAACATGTCTATAAAGTTAACTGTTGTTAAGAATGTTACTGCACAAAGTGTATTGACAAAACTAGTTTAGATTGTTTTTTAAAAATATAGGCTAACTTTCTCTATTCCATGTGACAGTGTAAATATGATAGACAGAAGTATACTGATCAACATTGGTCTTTATGTTATAGTGAATCATACAAACTACTCCGTCCCGGGATGGCCAGGTGGTTAGGGCGCTCGATTCGCAATCTGTGGGTCGCGAGTTCGAATCACCGACACACCAAACATGTCGCCCTTTCAGCCATGGGGGCATTATAATGTGATGGTCAATCCCACTATTCGTTGGTAAAAGAGTAGCCCAAGAGTTGGCAGTGGGTGGTGATGACTAGTTGCCTTCCCTCTAGTCTTACATTGCTAAATTAGGGACGGATAGCGCAGATAGCCCTCGTGTAGCTTTGCGCGAAATCCAAAACAAACAAAACTAACTACTCTGTAATTGAATAATATTTTCTTACATTTAGAAATCAGTTCACACTATTTAAGATGATGCACAGACTAGTAACTAGTCAATTAGCTAATAGGTAGACAAATATTTAATATAAAACATATATAAAAAAATTGTGTCTTAGTTACTTTTCCAAGTGTTTTACTTAGTTACATTAACCAAACAGAATTTAGTAACAAGCCATTTATATGCATAAAGCTCTACTGTGTGACAGCTTTATCATCAACCTAGCTGGGATGATGAGATCTGATGTAGTTGAAAGTTTAAGTTCTCATTTAGTCAGTGTTATGTTTTATTGGAAGTGTCACGTAAGTTTACAGACTTACAATGCTAAAATCAAGTGTTTGATTCTCTGCAGTGGGCACAATAGATAGCCCAATGTGGCTTTGCTCTAAGAATAAAGAAAACAAATGTCACATAAACATTTCAGTAAGTTCAAAATTATTTATTAAGTGATAGATCTATAAAAATGAATTTATCAACTTATTTTTAAACTGTTTTTAGTAAGTTTTTGATGTATTCCTCTTGACATAAAAACAATCCAAAGAAAGTAATGTGTATGATTAGAGATAACTAAAAGACTTTGATTCAGATTATCCAATATGGACACCTTTAAGTAAAACTATATTTTAATAGTTCTGTTGCTTCTGTACCTTTTTAGCATATCCACTTGCGTACAGTTATAGTGTTGGTCTCAAAGGTAAAGGACACGGAAAGACAGAACTCTGCATACCAGAAGGTAATTTTAATTTAAATATGAACTAGTGTAAATGTCTTGTGACAGATTTGGGACATTTCAAGCTACTTTTGTTTTAATAGTAAGTGAAGTTATTTCAAAACTATGAAACTTTTTATATAAAAATAAGATCAACATCTTATATTGGAAACCTATATAATGAGAAAAATAAATATTTTCACTCTAAGCCTAACAGATTTAATGACATCATTCCAGAAAATATAAAACAGTATATTTTTTATGGGTAATGGCTGTTATGAACATTCTAAGAAAAAGAGTAGGACTAAACTATTAGAAAATAAAAAAGCTTTAATACTAATTAATTTCATAAATGGCTTCTTTTGTAACTAGTTTTTATCATCATTATGCATTGAAGCTTTGCTATAAATATGGCATACAAATAATAGAATGCCATTGTGAAAATAAAAAAAAATAGTTGCTCAGTAGTTTATCTCAAGATTGTGTTGTTGGAAGATTCATTATTGTATTTTTCTTGCACTTTTTTAATGTTTTATAACTTCAAAATTGAACAGACATTTATTTGTTCGCTAAAAATTTACACAAGCACAAAAACAACTACCTTTTAATTTATGCTTCCAAGGAACTTTGGTGGGCCATGGTTTATATGAAGTTACAGTGACTGTGTGTAATGAACATGGAGGATGTGGTGTGAATAACCTAACATTGTATGCCCTGCCATCTGTCTCTCTATGTCAAGTTAAAGTCAATTCATATACTGCATTTGACTGGGTAAGTTTAATCACTTACTATCTTTCATCTCTTGTTAATTTTCACAAACAGAAGATCCTTATTTCACCAAAACATATACCACTGTCAACTGTAAGAACTTATGTTGTTGTTGTTTTTTTAATAAATGCATCTACCATAATATTATACCAAATTCTTCAAGCAACTCAAAGTTCCATCTCTTTAAACAAAACAAATATTTCTAGACCTTTCATATGTGAAAAAACAGTGATGGTTTTGGGTCCCCCACGTGACATCTTCTGTGACATTAATAAGCAGCTAATCAGAGTCTTTAACAAAAACTATCATTAATTCCTCATTCTGTTGTGAAATAAAACTAACATCAAACAGCAACTGAATATTTAACCAGCAGTCTTTGCTGACTGCTTATTGTTGGTGTCTTTTGCCAAATTCTGTTTTTTAATTGAGGCTCTAATTTTCTGTTAAATTTTCCTATTCTAATTTGTTTTTTTTATATTTTAACTTTCATTTTCATTGTCTTAAATTCAATTTTTTTTCACTTCCTTTGTCTTGTATTAGTTTACCTTTTGACAAAGTATTAATATCATGGTATATTATGAGGATTATATTTAGCTGTTGAGCTGAGTAAACCCCACCAGGTTGACATTTCAGCTTGTGGGTTCCATCTTGGCTTGTGTTGAGTATTTCAATGTCACATCTCTTTGCCTTATTTCTTTTCAAGACTTAGCATCAAGTTATTTCTTGTACCTGTCTTGGAAGGCTTTTTTTTCTAGCTGTTCTTGGCTTCAGCCCACCATGGATCTATTGTCTAAATCACTGATGTCGTCCAGGCTCTATCAAAGGCTCTCTTTCTCAAACTGTGTCATTCCTTCCTCCCTAAGAAATGGGCTGCTGTGGAAGATAATTCTGCTTCTTTGTCAATCACATCATAGTTACCTTTGCCCCCCCCCCCTACGAAAAATGATTGGGATTTTTGATCATTCTGGAACTCAAAATGATTTCCTCAGTTTTCAAAGGTGAAATGTTACTTTATTCTTGTTGTGTATTTATTAGTTGTCGAACTTTTATGTTGTTTTTTTTTATTTCATCTTTATTAAAATGAAAATGTGATATTCCTGCACACTAATGCCCAACAGATAAATTTAAAGTATCTAACAAACACAGGGTCTGTTCAGTAAAAAATAAATGGAATGTGAACAACAAAGTAAAAACAAACACAAGCGAAGCAAACACATAAAATAATTGTTTAATTCACAGTGGATAACCATGTTCATCACCAAACTAACTAGCTTCTCAGCATAGTGAGTGAGACTGAGAGATAATATTTTATGTATACTCTTCATTATATTCTGAAGTGTTTTGTAGATAAATACTTACCTTAAACATATTGCTCCCTTCTCTCTCTCCCCACATATTTCACTTGGATAGTGAATTCAACTGTTTTTTGCTAGGGTTTAGATGTCAAAGTACTCTGAGGAATTATTGGTAATGCCAACAAAGAATCCATATTAACAGCTGAGAACAAAGATGATAATAGAGAGTACCTAAAAGCACAACTTTGTGATTTAACAAAACATGATTCAACAGATAAGTACTTGCTTAAAGCTTGTTTTACTGTAAAAATGGAGTACTTAGTTCTGTTTACTGGATTGTTTTTAGCTGTGGTGATTGGTGTCAAACACCAGTGATTAAAATATTCATCTTTTCATGAATATATAAGCCTCAATTGATAATCCTTTAGACCTATTGAAAAAATCAAAGTTGGTAATCTGGAGTCAAGGTTGATAAGTATGAAAAAGCTGTTTGTCACATTTTAAATTAAGTTTGTTAAAAAGAGTTAATTTTTGAAGTCGTAATTTAAAAAAACACATTTTCAATTGTGTTTGTTAAAAAAAGATGATTTCCAATATGATATCTTCCCTCCTCTAACAAATAACTTTTCTCGACTTATACTGCCCTCTATAAGTGCAAATATTTGCTCGCCACTAGCTTTGATACCCCCACCTACCCTCACGTATTCACATGAGACATCTACATGATATCATTCAAATTATCATGCAGCAACATTCCACCAATAGGAGTACGACACAAATCATCTCTAGTACCCTCTCTTCTGTGCAGCCCTTAATCACTTCTCGATTGGCAGCGTAATTGGCAGGATGTGTTTTTGCTCATGTTTTCAGACTAAATTTTTACTTCATTGATCAAGTTTACTGTTTATTGTTTAGCTGCATATTTCTTTCAGCCATAATTTTTCAAACTTTTACAGTTTTACAGATTCTGTTTGGAGAAAAATAATCTTTTCCCAGTCAACTCCACTGGTTATGCACTTACAGTTCCATGTGTCATCTACCACAGCTACTGTATCTACTACAGCTGATTTGTTGGCCACTTCAATAGCATCTGATCAAACTTTATCTGCTCAGTAAGTAATGGCTTTGGTTCTTTGGGAGTTGGCTTATTTTATGCAGTCTTTTGAGTCACCTGATGATTGTCCTCACATACCATGCGAGGGTTTGCCTGCTCATGTCGGTGAGGATTTGGACAGTTTTTCCCCCTTCTGCCTATGCCTCACAGTTATGTGTCATTTTGGGGGAGGTGACCAGGCCTCCTTTCCCATTTGTAGACTTAATCAATCAGGTATGTTATATTTTGTCCTTATCTCCAATTTCCTATGATTCCACTCCTGCCCTTCTCAGTGATGAGCCATTGGGTCAGTATTTAGTGTTTCTTCTCTCTCCAGTTATTGGTGTTCATGCAAGTCATTTTGGCGACCAGTTACCTTCAGGTGTCAGTACGCCTCGATACCCACATACTCTATATGACCATGCTCTGGCATATCATCATTCTCACTTTCCCCATTTAGACTCAGCATTTGGAGTTGCTTGTTCCTTTGTGGGGATCAGGCCCCAATACTTTGGTTTACCGTATTTGTCTCACTCTGTTTGCCCTTCTCTGTTCCTTGTCCTCCCTATATCTGTAGTCCAAGGATTGCTTCCCTGATGGGTTTTTGGTAGAAACTCAGAATGTCCTGTTCTCCACATTAGCATGCCTCTCCTCTTATGCAAATGCGGCTGATCTGTTGTTGGGATCTTGGAATTGGTATGCTCTTTTGTCTCGGGTTTGTTTGCATCCCTCCTCTTTGCACTATCTGCCCATAGCACCTTTTCTTAATTTAAAAGAAACACATCTAAACCTTGATTTTTGTGTATCACCTGGTATGTTGAATGCAGCATTGGTTCAAATTATGAGGCCCGGCATGACCAGGTGGTTAGGGAGCGTGACTCGCTAGCTGAGAGTTGCAGGTTCGAATCCCTGTCCCACCAAACATGCTCACCCTTTCAGCCATGGGGGCTTTATAATGTGCTGGTCAATTCCACTATTCATTGGCAAAAGAGTAGCTCAAGAGTTGGCAGTGAGTGGTGATGACTAGCTGCCTTCCCTCTAGTCTTTCACTGCTAATTTAAGGGACGGCTAGTGCATATAACCCTCTTGTAGCTTTGCACAAAATTCCGAACAAACCAAACCAATCAAATTAGATGTTTGTGATATCAAAATACAAATTCTTTAGTTTTGTACGAATTAGGAACTCAAATTACCAATATTGACAAGCTAGAATATAAAATAAGAACCTCCTATCTTTTCTATTTGCCAAGATATCACTTGTACTGAATGAAATGAAGTAACCCCACTCACTTTTTGGAAACGGTCCCATAAATATACATATAAATATATGACATGTGAATAACCAATCCCCCTAGTGGCTTTCTCAGCCATTTTAAAGTTTTTGGACACCATCTTGTTTTTTTCGAACCAAGATTTCAAGGAGATAGGTTGTGTCTTTAGTCTGCTCGAAATAGTATATTTTTTAGACCCAAATATAGCTTAGTTACTAAGCTTGATAATTTATAGTGGAATTTTATGGTATCAATACAGTAATTTATGATTTTTTGATTATTCAAATGTATATATAAAACCTATTTCAATTCTGTCCATCCTTCCTCCATTGCAGTGTACTAAAGAAAGTGGTACACCTACCATAGTTGGTCCATACATTGTGGTTATTCTCCATCTTGTCTGACCCTTCCCCACATCACTTCCTTTCTAACCTGGCTCATTGACAGGGTCCTTTTAGTCTCTTCCATTGGGAGATATCATTCAGCTTTGAAAGCCATGTTTCATTTTACACATTGTGCCTGTGTCTTCATTTCATTGGTCTTGTCCCTTTTGTTTCCTTCTCTCCACATCACCAATCTTTCTTGCTCTGCCTCTTTCTCGGATTGGAACCTCAGTGTCATCCTTCATGCCCTTACCCTTCCTCCTTTTTAACCCATATCGACCTGTTATTTATATCACCACTCATTGAAGATCCTTTTCCTCCTGTTGGATTGCAGACATCATCATTTGTATGTTCGCTATTGATGTTCACCACACCTTGTTTTACAGTTCCTCTGTGGTCCTTTTCCCAAATTGTTCTTTTGTGCCCAAAACTTCGGCCGCTCAGAAGGGTATTTATGCCATCACACCTATCTCCCTTCCTTCTATATCACATCTTTATGACCATTTCGATCCTGGTCACCTCCTCTGCCCATTCTGGGTTCTCCACTGTTACGTGGCATACTTTGATTCTTTCTGTGGTTATTTATTCCTTGAAATCCTTCCCAGTCCTGTGACCTTTTTCACATTACTCTTATGGGTTGGATTCACCAGTTGATTTGCCTGGCTTATTTTTCCCTTTCTCCTGATGATTGTCATCTTTTCCATGTATCTTCCCATCTAATTTGTCACCTTACCATGTCCCTGGCTGCTCATTTCCATTATCCATTGGAGGACATCATTAGTGCCAGTTTGTGGACTACTCCCCATACCTTTATTGCTCATTATCTCCACCACCAAGCATTTTCTTCTTCTACGGAGTTTTGTCCTCCTTCCATCACTATTTATGCTACATGATGTATCTTTGAGTGAGTAAGTGCTACTTTTTTCTTCATTTTCTTTAAAGGGGCTTTTTTCGTGTCTTAGGATCCTGCTTTGTGGCAAATGTTGCCTGATCAGATATACTTATTCTTAAATCTACACTGTAAGACCTGTGTATCAAATACACCCGTTGTTGAAATGGTATGTTCTGCAAGACTACTTACAGGTATTCTTCACAGTATTTTTCTTCATAAAGATGTTTGCCTTGGACTGTACACAAACAGGGATTGCTGTCCATCCTTGATGATCTGTGTATTATAGATCACTGGATTGGTCTGCTTTTCAGTATAAGGTGTCGAGGTATTTTGCACTGTCTCTGGTACAGTGTTTCTTCGGTCTTTCCACCACACTGTTTCCCCCTTCTTCTATTGGAGTATGGAAGCTCTTGCCACTTACCAGTTGCTAGCCACTGGAGTGATGGACTATGGAGGCTTCCTTCTGAGTGTGCTCACTCCCACTCATTTGAGAGTAGGACAGTGGTGTTCTGCTGGTGTATATGGCACTGATCCTCATCCTACTGCAGACCTGATGTACAATTTCAGGTACCACCAGGTGATGGTCGATGCATTCTGCCAACATGCAGTTCTCCCCTCTAGCTAAGGCACCCTCTTCTTACTGCCCCTGGATGTCTGTTCTCAGCAGTTATGTTGATGGATAGATGGATAATGATGCAGATCTTTGCTGCAGAGTCCAATCTTCACTACCAGTTCCTTTATCTGAGGTGAAAGGTTGAATACCCTTTCCTGCCATGGGATGGATAACCCTATCACAGTTTGCCTGGTGTTTGCCTCCCATTTACAGTCTGATGCACCCTAGCCACTCTACACCTTGGCTCCCTTAGTGTCACACATGAGTGTAATCTGGTACTCACCTCCTACTGCAGACTGGATGGTCCATTCCCAATGCTGCTTGGTCATGGAATAGAGACGCACTTCCACTTTGCTGTACACCTTCCTACTATCTCCCCGGATGTTGATTACTGGTGGATATGGTGATGGTTGTGTTGGATGTGCACACATGATGATGTGGGGGAAGTCCATCCTTTGTTTCTGCCTTTATTGCAACACATTTTCACGTGGACAAAGAATATACCTGGCTCAGAAGGGGGTGTGGTCTTCCACGGAGGTGTTGCCTTCTGTCTATTCACATGGTCTTCCTTTGAGCACTTTCTGAAGAGGGATCATCTTCTCACCAGACCCTTGCCAACTCAATGTGGGATTCTAGCTATTTGTCAGTGATAGTAAGATATCATATTGGAAGTTAACATTTTCCTAAACTGAAAATGTATTTCCAATAGATACTAACCACTTCTCACATTTCTCACATGACCTCCCCACTTCTGGTGTAGTTTTTTGTATGTACTATCCAATCTTGAAGTGATTATGGGATGCACAGAAGAGAGGGCGCTAGTGACAATAGGAATTGCATCGTACTACCGTTAGTGGAGGGTTGCTGCATGATCATTTGCATGACATCATGCAGATGTCTCACTTGAATACACATGAGGGTAGGTGGTAGTATTAAGGCTAATGGCGAGCAAACATTTTTGCCTACAGAGAGCAGTATGTATAAGTTAATAAAAGCTATTTGTGAGGGGAGGTATCTATCAGAAATATATTTTTAGTTTAGAAAAATGTAATTTGTGTGATTTGGTCAACGACTAAAAATAATGAGAAAAAAGACAACTTTATTGAATTATATATCCAGTATAACTTGCTAGATCAGTATTTTTGTTACATAGTGGGAAGCTTTTATATGTGTATAAATATGACTAGAAATTTGAATTTATAAGTGAAGTAGAAATATCTAGTCATTATACAGATATTTTTTTTTTGTCCCATACACAGGCAACTGGTTGGGTATATGGTTGTTCAGTTCCTCTTGATAAAGCTCCTCTAACTTATCAGCTGTACATAAAATCTAATGAAATCTGGGTTCCTGTTACACAGCCTCAACAATCTAGTATATTTACCTTTTTTGGGCCACCTTCGTATGAGGGTGATATATCCATCTTTGGTGCTGAGGTGGGTATTCTCCTGATATTTGTCACAGCTCCTTCTATGTTTTGATATCTTAATTAAAAGTAAATGTCTGTTGAATTTTTTGTGGACCAAATGACGTACCATTGTTTGAAGATAATATTTGGAAAATGTCTTACTTCTGTTCTAGGTGTTCTATTCTTTAATGGAAGAAAATGTTTTAACCATATTTAAAACTTTGAGGTATGTGTACCCACTACCCAATGGCACTAGCAATGGCTGATGTATATTGGAACTTAGATATTATAACCAAAAGACTTTTCACAAAATAATAATAAAGGGTAAAAGAAGATTTTTAAACTTTGCAAATAGGATTATATTTCATGATATATAGCTTAGAACCTTCTTTAGCTAAGTCATGCAGCTAGGACAGTGTTATGTTGGTTTACTGAAAGTCTCTACCTAACTACTTTTAACATTACTGTACTGGGAGATTTATAAAAGTCTACAAATCTTAGGTATGCGACCAGTTTCACTATTGCCAGTGGTTCAGTTCTAATCCTGTTAAAGTCAATTATCCTGCAAATATCACACACCAAGTGATGCTGATGATGATGCAGTCTGAGAAAGCATATGCTTCAGGTAATAAACCAGATTTGATATAAAATATCTTTACCAACTCTTTTTTTATATATATAGAGAGAGGTATTCTAATGACTGTACTTAAATTTGATGGTGCATGGACATTACGAAGGAAGGTTATTGCTATTAATAGAAGTTTATGTTTATACATAAGCTGTTTTATTTGAAACCAATGTCACTTGAAGAGGAAAGAGTCGTGGAGACAGGTAGTCAGCTTAACACCACAGGTGCAAGTCTACTAAAGAGACTGATAATTTAAAACTGTTATAATGTCCCTATTTTCCTACACTTGATTCTTACTTACGTAAAAGTTGGTGATATCAAAAAGATGCATGACACTTCAAGGAAGCATCTCAAGACACATCCCACAATGTCTCAAATGAATACCTTCTTCAATCTTTCACCTTTCCTTTTTATGTTTTTAAGATATGGAGGAATTGGTGAAAGGAGCATCGAGAGCCAGCATGGGCCCCAGGCCAAACATCCTCTCTTTTTTCAACATTTTTAAGAACTTATTAAAAAGAAGATCCTACATTATGAC